TACTGGCACATGACATCGCCGTAAACACGGAGGCAGGTGACGAAACCGCCAGGTACCCGTCGCTATATCGCACGCCATGACAATGAAGATGTCCAATACAGTCAACATGCTGTCGTTACAGCCATCAGTTCCTTATAATTTTGCACGATATATAGTCTGTTTTCAGTGAAAACGTACCGATGACTTACACTTTAAACAAAAAAAAGTAAATCGAATACAGTGAAAATAAGATTGCGAATCCTCATGATTGTCCCTTGCCTATTTGAACATTAAAATCTCAGAATTTTATTCAACTTATAGAATTGATCTTCAGTAACCCATGCTTGTCGTAAGAGGCGACTAACGGGGTCGTTGACATGTGTCATATTATCCCTGTTGATGTTCATGCTGTTGATATGTATGCATTTGTGACTCGCGAAATCATCATTGTTACCTCGTCGTACAGGCATTCACATAAGTGGTAGTAATGGTAGTAGGGGTGGTGAAGGTGGTGGTGGCAGTGACGGTAGTAGTAGGATGATGATGAGGAGGAGTTGCAGCAACATTAGTAGTAGTAGTAGTAGTCGTAGTAGTAGTCGTAGTAGTACATGTTTGTTGTTGGTCGTTATTTTTATTTATGGTTGCTGTTGATTTTTGTTTGTTGTTGTGTGTTGTAGTGAGTGAGTGAGTTTACTTTTACGTCGCTTTTAGCAATATTCGAGCAATATCACGGCGGAGGAAAGCAGAAATGTGCGTCACACATTGAACCCATGTGGGGAATCAAACCCGGGTTTCGGGGACGTCTGTTTTGAAACTAGAACTCGTTTACACTTTGTACTTGAAATGTTCATGAACGCAGACTTATTCTCGTCACTATATGGCTGAAATAATGCCGATGTGACGTAAAGCCCAACTCAACTCATCTCAACTTTGGGGACCTCGCTGTCCCGTTGTGTTTTCTAGTGAGTTTTTGAGTTTAGTTTTACGCCGCACTCAGCAATATTCCAGCTATATGTCGGCGGTCTGTAAATAATCGAGTCTGGATCAGCGCAATTGGGAACAGATGACATGTGTCAACCAAGTCAGCGAGGATGACCACCCGATCCCGTTAGTCGCCTATTACGACAAGCATGGGTTGCTGAACATCAATTCTAACCCGGACCTTCACGGGTGTTGTGTTTTGTAAATGTTGTATGAAGTGTCTTGTCAACTCCAGGTGAACTGAGGTTTACTCTGCGTTTAGTCAATGATACATGTCTAAGGGAACAGAAAAGGGCCCCGACACTGCCAAATTCCTGAAACAATAACCTACACTATTTTTTACTGCTCAAAATATAATAAACAAAGAACCCCATTTAGCAATGCTATAAAACAGTACCTTAACAATGCTAACTCTTCTGATCTCAAGCACATTCTAACAAATCCCAAATTAATTAAACCACTCACTAAAGAGTTCTCTCTTTTTATCAACTTTATTTTTTAACCTTTTATATGTTTATCATTATTCACATAATAACTATGTTTTTAAACATGAGTTGGTTGCAAAAATACAAAAACAATGACAATAACCATTTACTACACTACATCTATATTAAATTCCCAATCTCTATTACGCTTTACCTATTTGGTATTTTTACCTTTTTAATTCGGCCTCCCCTTCAAATATCCCTTAATACTCTTCTTTTTTTCTTTTCTGTTTTTTTTGTTTGTTTGTTGTTGTTTTTGGGGGGTTTTTTTGGGGGGGGGGGTAGTACGTATACACCACCACTCTTTCAATATTTCTATTTTTGTGTTCCCCCTCATTTCTTTATAAGTGTACTACCCCGTCGCCGAAATACCTTAGTTGTGCGTGCGACGCTAAATAAAGCAAATAACAACAACATCCGAACTGAACCCATTTAAATTTAAAAGAATCGACCTGGGGCGTGACAAGTGAACACCTTTACCACAGCGCTATTCCACCGCCCCTGAAGATCCAGAATATGGATGAGAATTAATTAACCAGTTCATAATTTGTTAAATACACCGGAGATATTCAACGTTGATTATTTAAAAGTCCTTCACAGTTAGACCGTTACATCATTGACACATGGTTGCTCTTCCTACAATGATTTTAAAGAACGTCATACGATTCTTGCCCAACGGTTGCTTGATCAAGATAACTTCATTTTTGAACTCAATAAAGCTTTCAAACAGTTTATGGCAGACGAGTGAAATATGTTTTGAAATTGGACTTGTAGCAGACAACAATCATGTCCGATGCAAATTCCTGTTTTGACATGGATCATTTGTTTCCGGTTTGTTTGTTTTTTATTTAATTGTTTGGTTGTTGTTGTTTTGTTTTTGTTGTTTTTTGTATATTTTTTGGTTTTTTTGTTGTTTTTGTTTGTTTTTTTTTGTTTTTGTTGTTGTTTGTTGTTTTTGTTTTGTTTTTGTTTTGGGTGGGAGGGGGATAAACAATTGGCTTGCCTTTGTGACTTTGCATTTCGTCGTGAGTGTTGCCTCCGGAGGGACAAGATGCTATCACGTTATTGCAAACACTTACTACCGCATCCATTATACTGTGAACTTACAAAATATGTATATTTCTCGCATCATGAGTATAATGCAGCTGTACAAATATAACGTGTTGTACTAACTAGGTAGTGTAGTGTAACTGCTAGTAATGCCATGACACTCTACCTTATGTTCAAATGTAATCCAATACCTTATGGGTGTTTGCATCTGGCACAAACATTGAGAAACGACTCAAAATATACTTCAGTTGAGCTGTTCATGGGTTACAAGGCAACGATTTATATGGAACATTCATTACATATTCTGTGAGGAAGGGGTTCACACACACACACACACACACACACACACACACACACACACACACACACACACACACACACACACACACACAACACACACACAACACACACACACACACACACACACACACACACACGCACACACACTGATAGACCGTATAAGGTGTGGGCAGGTAAGACAGAAAGCTTCACGATATTGCTGTCTTCAGTCCCACAGAAACCTCTTTGTGTATCGCCCGTGTGCTGGTGTCGCTGGTGATATATGTCCTCACAACACAATACTTCATCACTGGCTGACAAGAGTGCATCAAAAGCACCAGTTGGTTTACGTGTGAAGGTTTCAACTTCAAATACGGAGCTATGTATCAACAGCCTAAACAGGTGAACACGTATCAACAACCACAACAGGCGAACACCTACCAACAGCCAAGCATTGTCACTTCTTTGTTATATTTCCTGCCTTTAAAAAGCAGGTGTTTAAATGAATAGTTATGTACGTGGGGGTCACATATATTGAAGCTGTATCCGTCGCTTCTGATGCCTAGAGGATATATCACCTTTTCCGTGAGCGGAAGGTCGCTCTTACAAAATGACGTTTACAGATCTTTTTATTGCTACATAGACACGAGAGGAATATGAGGTATTCTGACGTGGTATTGACACTGGTAAGCAAACATCAGGTATTGTGATCCCTGCTGATAGACAAGTGTGCCTTACTGAGATCCATTCTTATCATCACAAATGCATGCAAAGGCAAGCCAATGTAGAACACCGAAAGGTACAGTACGAGATAAAATACTAGGGATTTGCACTTGACATATTTGTCTGTAATGCAGCGAATTTGGAAATAAAGTTCCCAATTCTTCATTTAACATTAAGCCTTCAAAGCTTTACTAAGGCCTTAATACTACAACCTTGTGCAACTCATGAGCATCCTTTCTCATTTCAGGCCATGGGTACCGTAGTTACTTCAAATCGAGTTTAACATCATTACCAAGTAAATACCTCCCTCCATCATGGCTCCAAGCGGGTCAACAGCGAAACGTTCGACCGTATCAGTACCAGCCCCCGACAACCCAGCGTCCATACGGCTATAATCTTGGTTATCCCCAGGCGCAATCATCTTACCAATCGCGGTCTTCATCTGCATACCAGCCTGCCTATCAGCCTCAGTCTAGCTCTGCATACCAACCAGCTTATCAGCCTCAGTCTTCTGCGTATAAGCCTCCAACACAGTCAGCAAGTCAGAGCAGGTATGCTGCACCGACAATATACCGACAAAGCTATCAACAGCCCACACAGTCTCAGCAGGGGAACACGTATGAAAAGCCTCAACAGGCGAACACCTACCTACAGCCACAACAAGCGAACACGTACCAACAGCCACAACAAGCGAACACCTACCAACAGCCACAACAGGCGAACACCTACCAACAGCCTCAACAGGGGGCCACGTACCAACAGCCAAAGAAGTGGAACACGCTTCGGTCACAGCAGGCGTATCGATCTGAGGTCGCCCAGCCGTCTGGGGGTTACGTAGACCGCCAGCCTGCTCCACCACGACAGACGTATCTAAAACCAGTAGCAACCACGACTACTACTACCACAACTCGTAAAACAGTGACTTACCGTAACCGTCCAAGGTACGTCGTGCCCACAACTACCGCAATACCGACCCCAGGGGGGGAAGTTGAAGGTGTTACTGGAGGAGCACGAGGTGCCGGGGGTGTTACGGGGCAGCCAGGGTTTGACTTTTATGCGACTATGCCAGTCACCCAGACGCCTGAAGTCGAGGTGGAAAATGCCAATGGTAACGGTAATGGTAATGGTGGCGGGGTAGGTGGCGCTGCTGTTGCTGGTCCTGCTCCTCGCTATCAGCAGAATCCTCGGAATCCCTACTGGAACCCTTTTTACACGATGGCTGCCTATTCCTACTTTACAAAATGAGTTCTTCAGCTTTGCAGGGGGCATTTCGAATCCCATACTCGATAGTGTATGCCTTTGGAAACATATGTATGTGCTGAGCCACAGTTAATACTATTTTGTCTTACTTTTATCATTTTGGAAATGCCTTTGTCGCCTATACTCCAAACTGTTGTTTTACAGCAGGAAGGATGTGTGTCATATTTTGTCAGGCAACAAAAAGGAGGATTGTTTATAACTCACGTAAATCACGTGAGCCTCACTCCGTGCACTAACTTTGTGCTAACCCTGCCGATAAACAATGTGTGAAGCAGATGACTCAAAGATACAGATCGTGCTGCACGAGAAATACTTGGGTTTGTGCGATATATTTTCAGAGCGCTCATTGGTCAAAACACTCACAAGTTTCCCTTACCTTTCACCAGGCCGTGGCTTGATTGGCTGGTTACAAATAGCGACCACAACACCAGTCGGGATGTGTTTAGAGTTCGGGGGGATGTTGAGTATACAAACGCTCGTGGAGTTTGATGATGGCGGTGTTGAACATGAAGACGGACCACAGCGAGCAGAGGACTAAATTCATGTTTTAAGTATTAGCAGAAAACAGCGACGGGTGACAGCCGTTTGCTCCGTAGATAGGGGGTTTCAGCGTGTAGTTATGTGAAATAATTGTTTCGATATACTTGAAAACGATTAAAACAATGTGTATCAAGATAATATGTCTTTTATCGTTGCATCTAAAACTCTAAACGACACATACGCTTTAATTCCTTTTCCGGAAATGACAAGAAACTTTGATGACAAGATGCTTTGTTTTTCTATTTTTCATTTATTTTGTTTTGGTGTGTCTTTTCGTTTGTTGTATTTTAGGCGAGTAGGGTGTTTGTTGTTGTCTTTGTCTTTGTTATCCGTTTTGTTGTTAGTTTTGTTTTGCTTTTGTCTTCGTGTGTGTGTGTGTGTGTGTGTGTGTGTGTGTGTGTGTGTGTGTGTGTGTGTGTGTGTGTGTGTGTGTGTGTGTGTGTGTGTGTGTGTGTGTGTGTGTGTGTGTGTGTGTGTTCAAATATATGGCACCTGCAAATATTCCATGCCAGTACCAAATGTTAGCGTAAAGATACATATTATACAGACGTGAAATGTGAACCCTTATTTCCAAAGTACGACATTCATATGTTAGTTTCCTGAGAATAGCATTTCAAATGACATCTCTCTATTATGGGATTGTCACAACCGTACCTGGGTTTGCCAAAGAAATAGACGTCTTCCTCTCCCATCTGACATGGTGTGATAAAACTAACTGTGCTGGCGTTAAACCCAACTTACTCACTCACTCACTCAAGTATACGCATATGCAGGTATTGGAGGTATCCTTCAGATTGCCATGTACACTTTGTGAAACATGCCTGAGACAATACGGACAGTGCTAAATTACGGAATGCTAACAAAGAAAACGATAACGAAATAACTTATTAAAAGCACAATGTGTCGGATGTTGGGGGGGTTTTTTTGGGGGGGGATCTCATTACTGTTTTTTCAGAAATCCATTCAACATATTTGCTGGAAGTGATGGCGCACTGTTCAGCATATAAGAGAAATTGAGGATTGAAAAGTCGAAATCATCCCACTCGAACAGAGGCTGCTGTCGCTTTGCACAGACGCAGATAAGCGACTTACCAGTGCGGCAGCCATCTTGGAGCATACAGCTTTGTTGACCATTTTGATAATTTTGTGTGAGATGGTGTTTCCGTGAAAATACATTTAGCAAGTGATTGCTATAAACTGACAAATGAGATCAATATTAAGATTTTGCTCTTTTAATCCGTTAAACACAGTTTTCAACAAGTATTGTTTTGTTGTGCTTGTAACATTTATTGAGTGAATATATTCAGACACATACTTTGTCTAGAGGTGGAGGTCATTCACACACAGTATGACGGCAATGGTCGAACAATTGATGGTGTTGGTGCAGGGAATATAGTTGTGGTTTCTAAAATGTCTCAAAGGGTCAGCAGCTTTCATTCAGAACCTGAAAAAATATCCGAAGATGTCCCACGTAAGTGTACAATCTTTTGGCTGTCTGGATTTCTTCACTTTCACGGTCTTTTTTGGTTCTTTTCATTATATATCACTTAATCAAACCAAATAAAAAAAACTATTTTATTTCAGAAATCGTTTATTGGTTTTGGAGTCCATTGTGAAGGCATAGCTTCACCATTTCTCACTAAATCAATTTGTAAATCATTTCATTTCAGAAACCGATTAGTAGTCTTGGACGCCATTTTGAAGGTGTAGCTTCACCATTTCTCACATCAATTTCATTTCCGAAATCAATTATTAGTCTTGGAGTCCGTTGTGGACATAGCAGGATTAGTCTCACAAGGCATATATTTACCATTTGGACTCGAGGCGGTGTTATATCTTCCTGGTTGTCGGAGTACGTGTTGTCGGGGTCCACGTCGTTGGTGTTCGTGTTGTCGGAGTCCGCGTCGTTGGTGTGCTGCTTGGCGGGGTCGTCGTTGGTGTTCGTGTTGTCGGGGTCCACGTCGTTGGTGTTCTTGTTGTCGGAGTTCGCGTCGTTGGTGTGCTGGTTGGCGGGGTCGTCGTTGGTGTTCGTGTTGTCGGAGTCCAAGTCGTTGGTGTTCGTGTTGTCGGAGTCCAAGTCGTTGGTGTTCGTGTTGTGGGGGTCCATGTCGTTGGCGTTGCAGCGCATGCTACAAGTAATATTGTCCTTTTAATACATTCGCTTTTGTATATTCGCATGGAAGGATGTTAAAATTGGAATTAACCTTTCATTAACTACACCTGTGGATATCAGCAAAAGCATTTCCTCGCATGTTTATACCCGTGAAGATCCGGGTTAGACTTGGTCTTTAGCAACCCATGACTGTCGAGAGACGCGACTAAAGGTCAGGCACACTGACTTGGTTGACACATGTCATCGTAACCCAATTGCGTGGAACGATGCCCATGATAATCACTCGATTGTATGGTCCAGACTCGACTACTTACACACACACTCAGAACCAATCATATGTTTCTTTTTCCTTATGAAATGGAACATCATAGAAAATAATGAACCAAATTCTATTTCGTGATTTGAAATGAGGTTTAACGAAGCGTTCAAGATGGTTTCACTAAAATGGTGACGTGCATGCGCGTGTGTGCGTGGATTTATGCCGGTATTATAGTACCAGAAATCTGAAACACCATGTTGCAGTTTAAATTGTTTACCCCGCGTTGACTTTGAGTCCACCACACAGTGTTTTATTGTCTTAGTGGCGAGCATCAGGCAGGGTAACAAAGTAGCAAGGAGGAACAAATCGATAATCACAACGTACCTCCATACAGACAGCACAGTCCTAGCGCAGCAATAGCGGCAACCAACATTTTGTCCTTTCTGAAATAAAACCAAACTCACTTTTGTAGTTTACTAACATTTATAGAAATCTGTATATACAAAAAATCCAATCTAACATAGTCTGTCGCAAAGAAAAGCATACCACGATTTTTCATCTCACTAAAATCCTTCGTCCAAGATAAGGTTTATTACATACATTGACCAAGTCACAAAAACAAGCATTCTGCCATATGTCCATCCGTTGTGCTAGTGTCACCACATCGCTAACTGACACGTGAACGGGGAACAGATTATTGTTTCACGTATACCCCTTGTCTCCTCATGAAAACTGATATGTAAGCGCGATGGCTTGTGGTTTCATCTATGAGCAAGTGAATTACGCGGCTTTTAGACTCTAGCAACACCACGGTGGTGGGACACCAGAAATTGGCTTCATCTAGGGAATCGAACCTGGTGTCGCAGATGACACTCCCCTCAGTGCCCACCAGGGGCGACATCCAAGAATCTGCCGGCTCGGACATTGTCTACTAGGTAACACTCTGACTGACTGAGCTTGGTTTTACGCCGCTTTTAGCAATATTCCAGCTACATCACGGCGGGGGACACCAGAAATGAGCTTCACACATTGTAACCATGTGGGGATTCGAACCCGGGTCTTCGGCGTAACGAGCCAACGCTTTAACCACTAGGCTACCCCACCGCCCACTAGGTAACACGGTCAAAAGAGGACCAATGAACGGAATCAATGTTCTCGACCAATACCTAATGTATGCGCGGTGTCTCGTACACAATGTGCCAACAATATTAAATCTTAGGGATCACCACACTGTCACACATAGTACGGGGACCAATAGCCGATGTATGCCAGTCTCGTTTTCTACTCTTGTAAACAGTGTGCCAACACACTAGCTGTTAGTAGTCACAATACAGTCACAAACACTCTAACACTGTCATTACAGATCCGTGTTGGCGCATGGAATACAAAAACATGACAATATGGTATTAGCTGATGGGTACCGATCGATCGGGGGCGACGACTGTCAAATATCTTAGTAAAGTATAGATGAGTGAGTGAGGTTTTACGCCTCTTTTAGCAAATTGAATATTCCAGTTGGAAACATCGAGTCTGAATTTGAGAATCTAGATATCATGAGCATCGATCAACGGAATTAGAATATGATGACCTGTATCGACCTGGTCACCGAGTCTGAGCACCCGATCGGCTCTTACGACAAGCGTGGGTTCCTGAAGATCAACTCTAACCCGGATCTTCAATGGTTTAAAAAACATTTAGTGGATATTGACAAAAAGTGAGTAATGTGTTATGAAGTCATCCAGGGGAACGTGATTTTCCTGCTCCACCGCCTCGACGACTGGAGGACAAGCAGCACCATCTCGTGGTCACGGTACCCTTGTTGGTGGTAGTGTTCTGCTTGATACCGTACGCGAATGTGACTCATCCGACTGCAGCCGAGGTTACTGACCCCGTGACATGCACCACTAAATGATTACCTTGGGAATGTTGTCTCTCTAATCTGCAGCAGATGTGAATTCCCTTCAGGCTAAGATTGAAGTAGGCGTAACGCAGTTATTGCGAACAAGTCCAGTGAATGATTGTAGTGTTACGCCGTCTTTAGTAATAGTCAAGAAATGTCGAGGAGTCGCATGGGCTTCACATATTGGACCCATATTGGGAACCGGGAGTTTGCATCTCGAACGAGCCTATTAAATTGTCTGTAGACACTCACTGTTTATTTCAAAGTTAGAAATGGTGTGGACCCGTAAATATTTGGTCTTCAGCAACCCATGCCTGTCGTAAGAGGCGACTAACGGGATCGGTTGATACATCTCATCGTATCCCAATTGCGTAGATCGATACTCATGCTGATGGTCACAGGAATGTCTGTTCCACACTCGAGTATTTACAGACCGCCGCCATACCGCTGTAATACTGCAATATGCGACGTTAAACAAACCAACATAAATGTTGTGATCACAGCACGAGAATAACGTCGGAAGGAATGAGCTTTTGGGAATAACAGACATAGCGTGAAGTTTCTTAAGTTTCGGTGCTATTCGTATGTATTTGACAATGACACAAATTCATATTTCAGGTCGCATCTTAATTGGCATGCAATTGATTTCTTTAGCAGCTTTTTTAAAATATACAGTTTGTTCATAAATATACCGAAAATCAACATTTTAATGCAGTGGTGAAAAACCTAAAAAATTCTTTTGCAAAAAATCAAAAGTCAAAATCGTTTTTACTGTTAATCGTGGAAATAAAGCGATTGTTTGATGGTTCCCAGAATATATATTGTTTGTTGAATACACCTGGGGGAAGAGAAAGAACTCTTCGAAAAACATCCCATCGTCATAAACCTTTAAACACACACATACTCCAACCAATCGTGGAAGAGTGTAGTCACCGGGGTGTTCTAGCAATTCATTTCAACGATACACATAAGGTCCTTAGGTTCGATTTGGAGTTATTGTGTGAGTACACCTTAGCGCAAATAAAAACAGAATTGTGTGGCATGGCATGTCAGCTTCCTATGCATTGTTGATATTTGCCCTCGTTCTAAGGGGCGGGACGATGTGTTTGGTACTGACTGGCCACACGCACCAAAAGCCGCATTTCAAACCATTGAAACAAACACAAAACAGCACAGGCTATGACCGGATTTTGCTGTGTTTCCCGATATTTACCAACTGTTATGAGGATGTGTTTTTGTTAATTATAATGTCACACTAATTAACTTTAAGTTATGGGTAACAAAAGCGCTGAGTGTGGATTTGAACTCACGCCTTAAAGGCTATGTATTTTCACCTGTTAAGAGTAAGCTGATGAGTTGCCTCCCCTTTGTTTGCTTTGCTTCCGGTTCCGGAAGGATACTGTAAGCTATGAGAAGATGGTAGTGTGGTATGACTTTTGCTAGAATTCTCCAGAACTGCATAATAGGTATATAAGGGATGGTTGTTGACATGTATGGTTGGGATTATTTTGGATTTGCGCTCATCTGTCTGCCAACATTGACGTTTCAAGACCGACCCCTCAAGAGGGCTCGTCTACATTGAACTTTCAACTGCTGACAACTTCAATCAGTGTATCTATGAGTATCTGCAAGACTGTATCTATAAGTAACTATAGACATTAAGTTGATATTTTAAATGTGTAACCCATTAGTATTGTATTAGAAATCTGTACTGTCATTCATTGTAACCTTGTTTATTGCTATTCAATATGTAATTGAATAATATAGCCTCGACTATGTTTTATTTTGCTGGTTTAAAGGGGACTGTTTTCACAGCAATTTCTCAACCGTAACACTTACTTTGAGTATATTTCAGGTTCATTATATGGTGAATCCTGGCTCCAAACCCACGACAGAATCTATATTACATTATTGAAGTACCAGACACCCATGGCTGCACGACCGTCACATTTGTACCTTATACCTCTACATAGTATTTTCAAAATATCAAAAGATCTTAAAGCATTCTGAATAAATATGTCTTCTAATACTTACTGATGCTTTATGTCGCACTGTGAAAGAGGTCCTGTAGCAAGATATGAACAAATATGCCAAGCAATGCCCGTTTTATAGTCCCTACAATTTTGCTCTTAAAAAACCTCAATCAGCTGCAATTAGTCTTACGCATTATGCAGACGTTACGTTCAAGAATTTCTCTATCGCCCTGCCTAAAACTTAAAAAACATCAAACGTAAAAACAAACGTAACAATCGTTTGACCTCCTCCCTGATGCATGGTGTGACTAGCCAATGTTGAAGACATAGGGACGCATCGGTAAGCAATACACCAACAGTATGTCAGTCCGAACATGATGTCGTCTTCATCTCAATTCCTTTTTCAAGTTGTGTAATCAAACTGAAGCAAAGCTCTGTCAATGATCTATGGCCCAACGAATGGGTATTTTATATAAACTGTTTTAAAGCTAGTGAAATCAGCGCTTTAATTACCCTCAGCATAAGCCTAGTATTGGAATCGTGTGCACATTATTTTGTCCATGTAGATTAATAAATACTTAGCGGCTGGTATCAACTTATTCTGTTTTATTCCATATGTTTTAGTTGATGGTTTAAGCTACGCGAATTATTAACCATGGGGTTATTTAAGAGTTATTATTACAAATTCGAAGAGTCGAGTCAGTGAGTGAATGTAGTAAGTTTAGTGACGCTTTGAATAGTATGCCACATCTGCTTGATGTGGGATATGGACATACACCTGAACAAGGGGGATAGTTCAACGGATATGCAACTTCTTTATAACAAAATATGCGACGTTTCGGTGTAGATGCTAATACCGTTATCAGGCAAGTTTGTTAGCATCTACACCGAAACGTCACATCTATTTGTTATAAAAGTTGTACATCCATAGAACTAAACCCTTTGTTAATTACAGCAACTGCTTAATGTGTCTCAAAGGACACGTATACACGCTGGTGCTGTCAAACCTACAAACAGCTATATTCGAACACACAATCCTGGCATGCCGAGGGGAAGCAATTGTGGACAGCGAAATGCGCCTTTTTATACCACTGGGTCATCCATTCCAACGAGTCATATATTAACTGTGTGGAATAGCTGTATTAGTTGTGCTACCCTCAGTCAAACCCGTAAAGATCCGGGTTAGAATTGGTCTTCAGCAACCCATGCTTGTCGTAGGAGGTGTCTAACGGGATCGGGTGGTCAGGCTCGCTGACTTGGTTGACACATGTCATCGTATCCCAATTGCGAAGATCGATGCTCATGCTGTTGATTATTGGATTGTCTGGTCCAAACTCGATTATTTACTGACCCCCGCCATATAGCTGCAAAATTGCTGAGTACGTTAAGCAACAACCAACCAACCAACCAACCAACCAGCCTTCAGTCACATTGAAGCGCAATCCATAAAAAATCACTGCTGAAAGCATAGTCGATTTTACGATTTTGACTATATCATGAATATGTATTTGTTTCAGCGGTACTAAAGCCGTTGTTTGTAAACAATGGAGTCTGGACCAGTGAATCCAGTGATTATAACCATGTGATCCGACTGAGCATGAGTTTATATGTTCCCCAGTAGTTGACAGTAGAATCAGGACGAAACCGACGTACAATGTATAGCTCCATCAGGATGGTGTTGAAGCTGTTGAAGCTGTTTCTACAGTTGACTCCTGTGTGGTTTCCACACTTGAGGTCGATGTGGTTGCACATCCACAGTCAAGTCAAAAGGAGATTATTACAGCTGAAGCTGTAGAGGAAACTGTTGATGAAGTTGTTTTGAGCTAAATCAAGATGATGCCGGTTACCATTTCTTGCTACCCTTTCATTGTTCGGGGGTTTGTTTTGGTGTTTTTTTGTGTGTTGTAGTTTATTATTATTTTTTTTTTTTATTGGGTGTATATATTTTAAGCGCCTTTTTAGAGTATATTTATGACATCTCACATTGATTAAAACAAATACAATAAATTCTCAAAACTTCTTTTCAGTTTTCAACCCTGAAATATCATCATTATTCGTAGATCTTACAAACTGTTTATTTCAGCGCAGAATGTTAACTGCATCGTGTTTACATGTTGACCAGAGTGATGCAGGAGTTGCGTCCCTTGTCGTCATGGGTTCAAATAAGGAATCCTGGACCGTTGGTGTGCTTGTGGGTTTCACCATATGGGTCACAAACTACTGCTCGAAGGCGGTGCCTGTCAGTGCCAGGACCACCACATTAACTTCTCGTGTCTCTCTGTCTCACTGTAAATTACAGGGGCGGATACAGCTTTTTGAGAAAGGGAGGGTGCACACTATTGAGAAAAGGAGGGGTGCACACTTCATTTTCACCCGAGTTTCAATGGTCATTTAACAAACTTTCAGCACAAAATGCTGGGTGCGCACCACCATTATATTAATACCTAATTATTACTGTTTAATTAACTTGGTTATATCTTGGTTAACAAGGGCCCACCTGAATCGTGCAGTGTTTAAAAATCGAAAGTACGAAATAAGTCGACTATAAAGTTTGCAATGGTATTTTATGACACTTCATTCATATTGAAAAGGAGACGATTAATTTGGTTCTCATAAATCACATCGGTGAAACAGAGAAATGTAGATAAAGATTAAGATGCTATTACTAGACCATACACACAGTCACATAATTTGCCATTTTAGCCAGTATGGGCTTGAGATCATTTGACGTATATTGGAAGGATATGCTTAGAATTGAACAGAAAGCAACATGATTGTTTGTTTATTGCCTGACGCCGCACTCGGCAATATGGCGGCGGTCTGTAAATAATCGAGGCTTGACCAGACAATCCTGTGATCAGCAGCATGAGCATCGATCTACGCATGTGTCAACCAAATCAGGACGCCTAACCACCCGATCCGGTTTGTCGCCTCATCCTACGAACATGGGTTGCTGACCAGTTCTAATGTGTATTTAAAAAGTGTTAAGGTGACCGTAAATGACATATAATAAACAAACGCCGCTTTTATGATTAGGCCCAGATGGCTTATAACATGAACTCAGTGAAAGAAGTAGTAGAAGTCATAGTACATGTAACAATGACAAGGTGTGCTTGAGGTTTTCTTTCGTGTTCCGTATGTTGTTTTTTATGTTCTCTTTAGAGCAATTTATTGCTCACAAGCTAACGAGTTTCCAGAACACATTAGGTCGGCCAAAATCTGTGTTCACATTTCCATCTTAGAAGCATCAGGCTGGGGTAAGGTGTTACCTGACTTATCGGATGGCATCCTCTTTTCAGGCACATTCATAATTACCAGTTGTGTAACATAAACACATTCACGTGTTAATTGTTAGGGTTTGGGGGTAACGGATTGCTACATGATGAAGTCCATTTTGAAATTGTTCACATTCCTGTCTTTACAATATCATATTCACCATCATTGCATGCATTCCTATTTACATTTGTTTGTTTGTTTGTTTGTTTGTCTATTTGTCTGTTTGTTTGTTTGTTTTGTTTAACGCCGTATTGAACAACTTTCCACATATATGACCGCTCTTTGTAAATACCTTTTAAAGTGACATTTAGACTCGTAGGTAGAAAAAACGTCCTGCCCCTTGACATGAGAATCAGGGAACATCAGACACTAGATACTATTGTCCTGCTGAAGCTGCAAAGCCATATTTTTTTTCAATTAAATCGAATATATTTTTTTAAAATTAAATACTTGGAGAAATGGATATTTCTTGGAAACAACTTTGCTCACGTTTCCAACAGTCGGGACCGTCAGAAAAAATGTAAAAAATATCAATTCTGCTTCAGACTGTTAAAAAGTGAGTAAATTTGTCTGCCACAAAATTACATTCTTACAAGTAGGTTTAATATTTTTCTAACTCAGTCCACCCTAACTTTATACAAAAATGCATTTACCCTAAGCTATGAAGTGCAATGTTAACGTCAATATTGTGATACATGAGGTACAAATGAACGAAGTCATTAATTTACCAAAATCCACTTTTTCGGATATGAGATCATTAAAAGATTATTGGTGTGATTCATTGTGGGAAATATGACATATGACGAAAAGAAGGCCTGGCACGACCGTCGCACAAACACGGGAGCTGACACTCGCGAAAACCGGTGAATTTATGTTGTGCTAAGAAGTCTTGAGAGGTTCATTTCAAGGACGCTAGAAGGCATCTCATAATAATAATTTACAAAATTCTCTATAGCGCCCTATATGATTTTAAGGCGCTTCACAGAAGGAGTCACAAAAGCTACTGAGTGTAGGCTGATTTAAAGAGATGGGTTTTACGCCCTTCTTAAAAATGTCATAAGATGTTGAGGGTAGATTGTAGATCGTTCCACATTGTTGCTGCAATCTTGCTGAAGCATCTGTCACCATACATTACTGTTCCTGTTTTGGGCTCAGTAATCACAGATATAGAGATCGCCCTGCATCATAAGGAACACTGCTCCTTGAGATATGTTGGAGCAGTGTAAAGCAGGGCCTTGCACACGTACATCAACATCTTGAACTGACACCAGAGATGAAACGGCAACCAATGCAAGATATTCAGGATCGGTGTGATATGGTCGCATTTCTGTTTTCGAGAAATGAATCGCACTGCACTGTTCTGTGCTCTCTGTAGACGATCTGTGAGAGACTGTGGTAGTACACAGTGATCTTCACCGAACCCACTTCTCTGACGGATGACATTCACGAGGCTTCTCCTTATATTGCTGATCAGACGCCTTAAGACTGGGATCCTCTGCCTTTCTTGGTGCATTCCTTTCAATGCATAAGCGGTCAATTTCCAGCTCCAACTTAGCGGTTGTACATTAAATGTATTATATTCAATGAGATGAGGCGTTCCAGAAGTTGTAAAGTTCATTCCCTGTCAAAGTTTATGTTTCCTTTGTTATTTATTATCTTTTTCGGAATCGAGCATTCGCGTAAGAATACTTAGCGGTACACTAAGGTGAAGGTCGTTCATGACGGCGGCATATGGTTGTGACTAGTCGCTAAAACAGTGCAAACAAAACTCATGCTTAAAATAAGATCTTTCTGTCTAAAAAGAACAACAAAATCGGGCAGGGTTTAACCAAATGTTTAACGTTTTAGAATTAGCATAGCATGTGTGGAGTTTTGTGAAAGTAGTTCTTGGATTGACATAATTTGCATAGTTATCAGATTTGGATACCAAGTTTATCAGATTGCTTTATTGCACCGATAACACCCTCCATTAGATGATAATTGTTTTTATCAACTTCCAGTGACAGGTCAGTACGCTCATAAAATGACATAGTATTTATTTTCTCTTCGCATTGTACAGTATAAAAATATATTCACATGAGAGTAAAATTTTGTTTCGAAAACTCTGTTCACATAATTTTCAACACCTGTTTGCCCTTTGGCGCTAAAAAGGACGTCGGCAGATACTTGAGAGTGTTTTCTCCAACGTTGACAATTTGAATTTTGTTGGCATTTTCAATATCTTGACCGTATCTAATTATGTATTCAACACTTAACAGTAGACCATTCATATTAAGTGTATCCCAGGTTAATATTTGAACATTTTGATGCATGCTGGTATCTCATCCTGTATCGTTTGTATACTGAATTCGATAAAGGAAGCAATCGTCCGATACCCAGAGGCTGGAAGATCTAAAGTGACACGTGACTTCAGCATAAAGTTCTCTTTTTTGTTGACGACGCCAGCAGTCTTACCGCTATGATGACCCTAATTCCATGTTTAACATGCTGTCAGTGGTTGGTGGAGTTGAGGTCGCTGTGTGGAATTTGGCCGCGTTACGGGTCATAATGTTGACGAGGACAGTGGCGTTAGTATAGCACAGTAATCCCATCCTCGTTGGTAGATCAGCCTGTATTTGAAAAGGCAGCCCAACCAACATCTCCACCGAATAGATTTTAATTTTCTTTGAGAATCAATTTTAAAACATTCCATTTTCACAACAATGACTAAAAAAATAAAAATATAAAATCAAAGCTGTTTCTGCAAAGAATTTAATGAATTTTGCGTATCTTCAGGGCAAATATTATCATCTGTAATGTGACGTCACATGTCACGCCATCTGTACAATGGACAGTTCCAGGGAATGACTGTAATTTACAATCAACCATTCAGTATCACATCCCACACCTAATTATTCTGTGAGAACAGCCAGTACCAAAAGAAAGTCCTTGGGTTCAAGTAAAAGGGTTGTTGATACATCCAGGGGTTGTACGGTTGGTATGGAGGCTGTGTTTGAGGAGCTGCAGTTTGTGTTGTGGCTGAAAATATACAGCAAATTCTCATTCATAATGTTCACAAGAGATCCCATTGCACAAAGTAATATTAGTGCTGGAGTTTGTTTGTTGTTTAACGCCGCATTCAGCAATATTCTAGCTATTATATATGGTGGTGGTCTGTTAATAATCGAGTCTGGACTCAGACAATCAGGTGATCACGATCACGATACACGAAACTGGGATACGATGACGTGTCAAACAAGACAAGAGCCTGACCGCCCAATACCGTTTGTCGCCTCTTACTACAAGCACGGTGTGCTAACCCGGATCTTCACGGTTTTAGTGCTAAATAATATACATTAGCTGGTAATAGTTGTAGCGCTAAAATAGTGAGTGCGTGAGTTAAGTTTTACGCCGCTTTTAGCAATATTCCCAGGAACATCACGACGGGGACACCAGAAATGGACTTCACACATTGTACCCATGTGGGGAGCGCTAAAGAATTTTCATAACGGGGCCCAGATGGGTTATGACATGAACTCTGTGAATTGGGTGGTCAGACTTGCTTGATAACGTGCCCCGAAGATATGGAACTTTGGTCATGATATCGATCACCAGTTTATCTGGTCCAGAGTCAGCTGTCTAGAGTCCACTGTCAGATAGCCGGGATATAGTCGATCCAACGTGCAGCATCAAACTAGCCATATCGACGCTCTAACACTATCAAAATGTCGTCATCAATAACATATCTGACGTCACAGTCATTATGACCGATAACTCTTTATACAACAGTTATATCAAAATCTGGATTAGTATGTAGTATGTCACTGTCAGGCAAAACTGCATTCGTGTTTGGTGTGGACGCTTTTAATAACTATTATATCTAAACAGTCTTTCTTGTTGTAATTATACATTAAGTAATGGCGTGGTGGGCGACCTGTCTAAAGCGCCAGGCTAGGGATCCAGCGAGCTTGAGGCGTCGGGAATCGAGCCCACCTGTCACCAGGTGTAAAAACCTTGGAGTCAACTTTGTGTGCAGACTCTTTCAGTGTTGTCACAACCCCCTAGTGTACAGTACACAACCCTGTGCACTAAAAAAGAACCCACGAATCCGTTGGTATATGACCAGATGGTGTCCACTTGAATACGTGCAAACACCTAGTTGCGGGTACAGCTGTGAATGGGTACCTCGTAAGGATGGGAAAGCCACACTAACTCGGTGCGCCTAGTGGCTGCAAGAGTTGTATATACCCCAGGGAGTTGAGATTGATAATACGATGTGCCGTTGAAATTGACATCCGGTGATCGAGGGAAAAGCAAAGCCTTTGAGCAGCTGAGCTGGATATCGGCGCTATACAAATGTTAGTATGTATGTATGTAATGTTAACCGAGAAGTGAATCGAGAGTCTGGAAAGGGTCATGTCGGTTCTATTCTACTGACCTGTTTGCGCATTCAGTGTCACAATGACACACACAAGAAGAAGACACACAAGTTTCATGTTGACGTGGTATCCTGCAAACAGATAAAACATTTTATCATCACACCATGCTAAGTCTGTATTCTCCCCAGGGAGATGAGTGAATTTCTGCGGGATGCCAAGAGGGCAGAAACTGAGAGCAAATGGAAACAGTTTCAGCCTTGCTTTGCATTTATTTAGCAAAAATGCCTGTAAAATGTAGCTTCATGCAAAACCTGAAAGTGAGTGAGTGAGTTTAGTTTTACGCCGCACTCAGCAATATTCCAGCTATATGGCGGCGGTCCGTAAATAATCGAGGCTCGATCAGACAATCCAGAGACAAACAGCATGAGCATCGATCTACGCATTTGGGATACGATGTCAAGTGTCAACTAAGTCAGCGAGTCTGACCGCCCGATCCCATTAATCGCCTCTTAAACATTGGGTTACTGAAGATTAATTCTAACCCCCAGACAAATGAACATGAAAGTTCGAGTGCTCACTGATCGGCCAGGGTGATAATAATCAGCATCCGCTATAGTCGGGATTTGAGGTATTTAATGAACCATATTTTTATCCCTATCATTAATGTGGAGCGATGGAGAAGTGAAGTGGCCAAGTCGCTAACACGTTGCATCGTCAGGAATATTTTAGGGTTCGACTCCACATATGAGTGCAATGTACGAACCCAAATATCTAATCCTCCGAAATTATTACGCAAGACCATAGCGTAAAACAGATGTTACTTACACGTTCAAATTTACCTACATGGGCCATAATGAATAAATGCGTAATTTTAGAGGATACATGCATTGCTGTGGGTCTTGTCAGCTCTTTGTACAGCTGGTATATTTTATACGCATTTTTCATTCTTGAAAGAATCCACCGGAGGCGATCGTCTCAGGTTGTATGGAGTCCTTTGGGCACGCCAGAAACCTTGTGGGTTCGAATCTCGATTTGATTGAGTATTTCTTTATTGGTCAACACCATACCCATTATGTAAATGGAATACTGTCAAACATAGTATCCCACTTACTATGTACTCCACCACTTACAATCTTAACAATATCTTTTCAAAATCAATAAAAGTACAATGTCCTCAAACCATTAAGAATCTTAAACGTAGTTGTTAAATTAATACTTGAAAGTTTAAGTGAACTGAGCTTAAACCCGCTTCAGCACTATCCATGGAATATTCACTATGGGCATCGAACCCGGTTCAACTTTATGAACGAACGCTGTACATAACCAGTTGACTAATGCGGTTAGCGGCCCCGTGAAAAGGCATGTTGCACATTTTCTGTTTCCACCTTCAGGGACGTTGGGCTTCTATTTGTTGAATTCAAGTTGGCTAAAGCGTTGGTCGCAAGGCAGAAACATGGTTTTGATCAAACACGGTCCGGCTCGCTCCGTCACTCACTCACTCACTCACTCACTCAACAGTATATTAAATTGATATTTATCAGTATCAATCAGTATCAATGATTTAAGTATCAATTTCCCATAAGCTTGCGCAAATCACAAATGTACGTATTTACGCATTTGTTTACGAAGGTGACGTTTCTTATGAGATGAATAAAGCTACGCTTACCCTGTGTCCGACCAGCGTTGTTTACTGTTGGTGAATGTTTCACATGCTTATATACAGGGGGGAGATAGGCGTTGTTTGGGAATATACTTTTATAATTAGAAACTCTTTAGCCAATGTCTCTAAACCAGTCTATTACAATAATTTATGCCGTTGTAGGAACGGCAGGTGACGATGGTCACTTTTTTCTTCAAGCTCGAGTACGAAATATTTGTTGCCAAGGGCCAGGTAAACATGTGATGTGTTGGTAAATATGGGAAAAGTAAACATCACCTGTTCGGGCTTTGAAGTTTCAGGTAATAACATCCTTGTTGGTTTCAAGGACAATGTATTCTGAGGGAGGGGGGGTACAAGGAAGATATAGACTGGGTTTGTGTGTCACTCAACAAATTGTGAAATGTAAGCTTTCGGCCGATAACTTTGTTAAAATTGGTTCAATGTAGAGATTCATTATTTTCAATGTAAATGTGAGTGGCACTGTTTAGAAGTAGGAGAGTAATATACAGACAAACGTTATGGATAGACAACTTCTTTATTCAGTAGATGCGACGTTTCGATACAGATTCTTGTATCGTTGTCAAGCAAGTATATCTGGATATCTGGAGAAAGTTCATAAGATATATTAAATTTAACCATATCCATTTCGAAAAAATGTAGGTTGAAGTCAAAAGTTGGGAGGTATTGAACATCACTATGGTCACACATTTAGGTATCCACAGATGTCTCTGAGTGAGATATCGATTTTAGATTAATAAGAATTCAGTATTTCGTCATGTAATACCCACCAATACAAATGTTGCCTTTATAATGTATTCGTCCAGATATTTGACGTAGTTTCCACCCACTCTAAAATGTTAGTTGTAAGCCGATCAATACCTTCCCGTTGGTACAGACACGTGTAGATCCGTATAGTTATGCAAGCTACCTGTGGGGCAGGACACAAATAACTTCTGACATTTGTCTGATGCAATTCCCTACTTTGGCTTGGGGGTGGGGGTGGGGGTGGGGGTTGGGGTTGGGGGTTTGGACCCTAGTGGTTAAAGCTCTGGCCCGTAACGCCAATGACCCGAGTTCGATTCCCCACATGGGTACAATGTGTAAAGCTCATTTCTGGTGTCCACCACCGTGTGTTATTGCTGATAAATGTTGTTAATAACACAAAAGACAATAAATAATGCTGTACAGTTAAGAAAGGACTGCCCGAACACATCATGGAACACATCACGTGACAACAACAAAATTCATGCACAACACACACGAAAAGCACAAATAGCATGCGTAAAACATGCTGATTAGGGTAATAAATGACCGTCGGCAAATAAACGTGCTCATTTTAGCTGTACCTCCGCAAGTAAAGTTTATTTTGCAATGCCAAGATTGTCACCAGAGGAACGAGAACGGGCGTTGGGCATGTTGCAGGTTGGCACATAAGCAGGATTAGTGCCAGACGATTTGGTTGCCATCATTCCACCATCATAAGACTTGCCAACAGGTACCAACAAACAGGAACCACCAGGGACCGCCAACGTCCTGGCCAGGCACGTGTTACCACCCCTCACCAAGATCGAGACATTGTTCGGTGCCATATTCGGGATCGTACGTTGCCGGCTGCCAGAACCGCCAATGCTGTCCAAGGCCGACGTGGTTTGATCAGTGCTTCCACCGTCCGGCGCCGTCTCCGTGCGGCAGGATTACGGTGTCGACGCCCTTATGTTGGACCCATCCTGACTGATAGACATCGCCGTGAACGCCGACGATGGGCTGAAGAGGCATCGCCTCAAAACATTATTCAGAGACATCAGTTCAATGAGGAGACGTTGCACAGCTTGTGTTGCTGCTAACGGTGGTCATACACGTTACTGACTTTCCAATCTGACTCCATCTTTCTTACATGGTCAGCTGAATTAAAACTTCACTGTTTTGCTGGATTGGTTCTTGTTTCTTTTCTTTACCAATCATTGGACTACAAAAGTATGTAAAATTTACACCGATTGCTCATTTATGCTCTTGGAAATCCAAACTAATACAGGTGGTGCGTTTTCAATGATGTTCAGTATATCAGGCGATATTGCCTATGCATGTGGGGAAATTAAAAGTTTTGTTGCTTTTATTTAGAAACAAAACAGTAAAGACTTCAATATTTTTAAGCAACTACACTGTATGGTGTTATAGCAATATTTTCCAATTTAAAAAGTGAATATCAAAAAAGGACAAAACTAACATGCTTTCAAGTTAGTAAAACAAAGAGCTAAAAATGATATATGTGTAAATGCAGTGGGCGTTTGGATAAATTCACACTTCATTTAGTAATTTATGAGCTACCAATTTTTATTCATCAACAGTTATTAGTTGGAATCAGTGTGTCGAGATGAACTACGTGTTAAAGTATGTGAGCATTTACGTAGGGAGTCGACCGAATCGTGTAGATGCCATTATATACCTGATGATTTTTGTTACACAGGATTTACACCGTTATTAACGGAATCGACAAAAGAAGTCGTGCTTGTACGTTGACGTACACATATGTACCATGATGGTGTCTTGTCGGAAATGGACAGAGAAAATGAGGGCGGTGGCCCCATGGATGATGTATCTGGAAAGGAAGTGATGACATTTGACCACTCACTGTCAAAGGTCAGGTCAGACATGTGGCTTAAAACTGGGTCCTCTGAAGTGGGGAGCGTTGTTGCGGGGGATCTGAGGTACTGCTCCCATACTAAATCAGGTAAGGTCATTTTGAAACACAAACTTCATTTCATACATAGAATAGTATCGTATGTGTACACAATTTGTCATTCAGGCATAAAAAGTAGTACTCGATAAAAAGTTCAACTGTAACATGGCGAAACTAACCGTCCAAGAATATATAATTGTTAGTTTGATAAATCAGCAACTGATTATTTTATATTTTCTTTAGTGTCAGTCTTTGCTATTTCAACGTTATTGAAAAGTTATTAGGATGAAAACAGGTGCCGAATCACAGCAAACCTATGGTCCAAAATGTTGCTAAGATGCCTGCATCAAACACATTATCATTGAATAACCAGTTCTTGTTTGTTTAATCTTCTTACAACCTTAAACATGTATGTATGCTTCTTTTGTGTGTCAGGAGTAAAGTGCTAGCTATAGTGCTAGCCCTCTCAAATGCCAAATGTAACTGGGTTTCTTCTCTTGTTGCATCAAACATTTGGGTATACAGTGAAACCTGCCAACAACGGCACCTGTCTAATCCGACACACTGTCAAAACTGGCATAAAATTTGGTCCCGACATTTTACAACGATTTGCAATTTCTTTTGTACGTATGATTCGGGCTAATGTGTTATAGTCGTGACTGTTTTTTCAACGAACATAGTGTTTACTTTCTTCTGGTCAGCAATTTATGTCCCTTGTAGTAATATTAATCATTGATATTTCAGAACCTAGCGTTGTTCAATATCATGATGCTGAGGGAATGTGGAATTGTGCTGATTCTTCTGATGACGAGTCAGCAGGGTACGTCGAACACCTTTATCACTGAAGTTTCTACTTCAGAAGTTGTGAGTGAGTGAGTGAGTGAGTGAGTGTCATTTAATGTTGCATTCAACCATATTCAATATGTGTCCCTCCAGCAAGTAGATAATCGAATTAGGACTAAATAAACTGAATTTATACATATCCACAGGTTCACGTTATGTTGGTATAATGACGCTGTTCAGTGTAGTCGGAGAACAACATCCTCCAACCCGGACATCATCATCCAACCGTTTTATGAACCTATGCATGTATGTCGATGTTGGCCACTAAAACCTCGTTCTCAGGGGCGGAACAAGGGTTTTGGAGAAGGGACGGGGAGTAAAGAGGGAGAGTGAGGGTGCACATAAATCATGACGTCAAAAGATTAGGGGGAAATGCTCTGGTTCTCAACGCATCATTCTGGCATCATTTGGGTGGCCAGCATGGGCCGCACCTATGCGACTTGGGTCATTGTTCATATTAATCATCTTGTGAAAATCGTTGTTGTATGTGTATGGTGCACGTGGCGTTTGGCAACAAACATTTGTTTATGAAGATTGTGTGAATCTTTCTCCGTATTATTCTTTGTCGTTTACGTCTTGGATTTCTCGAAGACACATAAGGACGCGGGGTCATTAGTTCTATTATGTGAGATTCTGTCACACATTGCCACAGCTCTATCTACCAGTCACATATTACCGAGTCGCAAACCATAAGGTAGTTGCCCGAAATGAAATGTCCGATGCCTAGACAATCGTAGGATTGACGATTGCGTTTTCAATATTTATACAGCGTTTCGATGCCTTGCTTTATGTCTGTGCAGGTATATGTTAAATTCATAATGAGTTTGCTCGTGAAGTGTGCCAGTGGAGTTAATCTAATTCAACATCATGCTGACTGCAACATTCCGCAAGTTTTCGCAGTGCACATGAAGAACCATATAAGTGATGAACATCTACAAGATAAGAAAGATCTTCATTAATGAGTTAACGGATTCAATACCGGAGCAACATATGACGACTTGGTGATTTTGGTGAATAAACAGCATATGGTGGCTTTTAGATGTGTTGCCAATTATGTCCCTTTTCACTTCCGAACAATCTGTGCAATCTTGTAGGACGGTTTGTGTTTCTGTAACTTATAACATTCCAGAATTCTTATTTTATCTTGCAGTCATTTTTTTCATCATTCTGTTTAGGTTCGACTCAGATTCCTTCAGAAGCAAATCAAGCTGCCCAACCGACGTACGCAAGCGTACCACAGCAAACCAACCCAGGCCCATCACAGCAACCCACTCCGGGCGAAACACTGCAAACCAATCTAAACCTTCCTCTGCAAATCAACCCTAGCGTACCACTGCAAACGAACCCAAGTCAACAAACATCTATCAATCCAAATCTTCCACCACCATCTTTGAGCAGGAAAAGGACGGGAGTCCATCTTCAAGTCAATCCATATTTCAATCCGTTCTTCCAAGATTTTTCAAACAGGAATCTCTTACGTGGCCAAGCTTCAAGGTACTGGAACTATGGCAGACCAACGCACCATTTAAACTACAGGAACTCTTATAGGAGGCCGTTTTCAAACCAAGCCTTACGTTTCCTTGCCATGAATGAATTGTTTGACTTTTTGTAACGTTCTGAAAAATATGATCAATGTGCAGACTTCTTTTAAATATAACACTATTTTTATCTTAACGGAAGTCTTAATCTCGTGTATAAAATTTACATTTTAAATGATAAAATATATCTATATATCTAATTTTATGCATGTCCATACTGATTGAAATATATTGGAAAGTATCAAATGAAGTATTTGTGCAAAAACGACCAAACAAAGTGTTGTTTATTTCTTCATACATGATTTGGGTTCTAACCCTTGACCCGCCTGATGTGTATAGGTTTATCAACACCGCACCTATGCTATTGGGTTTCACCAAAATGGTAAGACCTGCGTCACTGAGGACCTACCTTGAACCAAGCCAGCATACCGTGTTATTACTTAAATGTTGTTCATGTCGAGAATAAACTCACAAGGGACCGCCAGGTGAGCAGGTGTTTAAATAAGAAAAGCACTTCTGGCCAATTTTGGTTTTTGAATAAATTGGTCAAATTTAAGACCAAATACAATGAGCATTCGTCAAGGATAATGCAGTGCACCCTGGTTATACTTCCCCTGGTTATAATGCCACCCTGGTTATAATGCCCCCCTGGATATAATGCCCCCCCTGGTTATAATGCCACCCTGGTTATAATGCCCCCCCCCCCTGGATATAATGCCATGTTTTTGCCAGAACGGATTTCCTGCCTTTATAATACCCTGGTTATAATGCCACCCTGGATGTAATGCGATGTTTTGCCAGAACGGATTTCCTGCCCATATAATACCCTGGTTATAATGCCATCCTGAATATAATGCCATGTTTTGCCAGAACGGATTTCCTGCCTATATAATACCCTGGTTATAATGCCATCCTGAATATAATGCCATGTTTTGCCAGAACGGATTTCCTGCCCATATAATACCCTGGTTATAATGCCATCCTGAATATAATGCCATATTTTGCCAGAACGGATTTCCTGCCTATATAATACCCTGGTTATAATGCAACCCTGGATATAATGCCATGTTTTGCCAGAACGGATTTCCTGCCTATATAATACCCTGGTTATAATGCCATCCTGAATATAATGCCATGTTTTGCCAGAACGGATTTCCTGCCTTTATAATACCCTGGTTATAATGCCATCCTGAATATAATGCCATGTTTTGCCAGAACGGATTTCCTGCCCATATAATACCCTGGTTATAATGCAACCCTGGATATAATGCCATGTTTTGCCAGAACAGATTTCCTGCCTATATAATACCCTGGTTATAATGCCACCCATAATGCCATGTTTTTGCCAGTCATTTCCCCTGGTTATAATGCCAATTACACTGGCTGCATGTAGTATATATACCTTAATTGGTTAATTGACATGACTCAAATTAAACTCACCAATGCTTTAGGTAGTCGTATAATCCCAGATAAGATAACATTGTGACAATACACTTCTTGCCACCTACAACAAGAAGTCACCTGCAGCCCCTAGACGCTGGGAGTATCCAGTCATTCAAGGCTCATTACAGGAGACATCAGCTCAATCACCTTGTTGATTGCATAGGGCCTCTAACTGTCCTATCTGGATATAATGCCATATTTTCTCCTGGACAAACGGTGGCATTATAGCCAGGGTATACGGTGCATCCCAACTCATATACGTACGCATTGCTAAATGTATACATGACCTTATACAATGAAAACTATAACCATAAAATGTAACGATGACGTGTCTTTCGAAGAGCAAAAAAACTAATATAGTATTTTCGGTATAGTTTCATGCCTTTTCGGTATAGTTTCCTGAAGAAAACCCAGAAAGCTTTAAGGGTGACGTTTGTGTCAGGTTTCACACTTTCAATTCACTCTGGAAATTTCCCCCAGCTGTTAAAAATGTTATATAAAACATTGCAGCTTTTCAGCCTTATGTCATCTTCATCATGGTATCATATACTACCCATCAAAAGTTTAGACTCGCTTAAATCAATCACTATAAGTTATGTATGTACATATGGTTACAACGAAGATGAATTTCTCCACTAACTTGGTGAAAATATCTGCAAACCTTATGCAGATTAATTGCACGAGGATCATGCATCAAATTGCTGAAAAGCATGTGCAAATATCGTGCATGTGAACAGCTGCGTTTTGGGGCAAAGTTTTGATAAAAAAATCGCCATTTTTCACCGGGTTTCATCATTTATTGAACGCATGACAATAAACATTTCAAAGTCACGAATTTGCTTTTCAATACATCAGCTCATGTATAAACAGTACCTATAAACTGTATGGAATATTTTACAAAATCTAATTCGGAACAGTTGATTGAAGTAAGTGGCTACATTTACACTAGTGAGTCTAAACTTTTGATGGGGAGTATATATATGAACGCTCTGCCATTTATTTTTATCACCACCCCTAAACACAACGCATGGAATGCACAACGCAGTAGCCCCATACACGTGCATGGGGTGTCATTATTGATTTTGACAGTTTTCAAGAAGGTCAATAAATCACTGCAGACCATTAGTTTTGACAATCATCTATCATCACTTTTTTCAGTGTTTGTTTCTAGCCGGTTGTTTTTGTTTAAAAATGAGTGTGTGAGTTTGGTTTTACGGCGCTTTCAGCAATATTCCACAAATTGTCCGACAGGGGACACCTGAAATGCGCCTCACACCCTGTGCCCACGTGGGGAACGAACCTGGGTCTTCGGCGTGACGAGCGAACGCTTTAAGCACTAGGCTACTCCACCGCCACCTATGAAAATCGTACACATGCAAATTTCACGCCGTGCACTTATCATCTTTCAAGAGCGATTACTGTACAAACAACTATGGTCATAAGAAAGTGCAAGTGGTGCTGCACTTTCATTGCATTTATTATTATCATATCAACATTGATTGACTCCGATATATCTCCCAATTTTATAAAATCGTGAATTAAAATTGAAGTTTATTCTTTCAGAATATGTAGATGTAAACCACACGGCGTTGTCCCACACTACAGGCTGGGGGGAGGGGGCTTGCATTGTTCTCCATATCTGTCAGCAGAGCCCGGGGACTGGGCGTTTTCTTTGTTACTGGTGTCCCAGGTTGCGGCGACAAGACACACTTGACATCGGTATGCGACTTCTGTGATCTCTACATTTCAAAGATTTGTTTGTTGACACGAACGTTTGTCACTGACAAGGACGGCTATGCGTAGTACTTATGAATAACACCTTGATCTACATAAAACGTGAAAGAGATATTGCGCAAGGCATCCACGCCGGGGCACAGAATGTGTTCCGTGGAAATAGGGGCTGTGGGATATAGCACAGTGGTTAAAGTGTTCGCTTGTCACATCAGGGTTTGATTGCCCACATGGTTACACCGTGAAAAGTGAATATCTGGTGTTCTACGCCTTGGTATTGCTAGAAATTCGCCTGAAACAATACCCATTCATTCTTTTGAACTAATATATATACGTGTATATTATACATGGGACGATATGGCTTTATCAATTAGATCCAACATCGCTTGTTACCATGAAAACATCTTCACGTGTTTCCTAACTAAAGCGGCAAATGCATCGGTAGTTATTTGGGCATTTCGCAATTATCACTGAGAAATATATTATTATATAAATTATATTATTTTTTTACTATGGCTATTCTGTCATATCGTGAAAACATAGGGTATGTTGCTAACAATCCAAGTATCATATGCAGGATCAGGGATTATAACCCACGCTCATAGGTTCCTGACACATTCAAGGGACGTAACTCGGTGCGTTAGACGACTGAGACAGACGTGCTAATGGTCCAACGTGAATCTAATGGCATGAGAAGATCTATTGTCAAGCCATTTATGGGTAGTTTCTCAAAATATATACCCAGCTACAAAAGAAAAACTGTGATGCAGTGGTAAATATAGTGACTGTTGTTTGCTTATGAAAATATGCAAAGGAAACACCGTGAGGCCTCAGATAACCTTTATTTATAAACAGGTCTGCTTTCTGATTATGCAAGTAAGACGTCGTTAGACTGCTTCATTTTGGTAAGGTCACTAAGGAGTCGTGGGGAATAACAATTCAGTATCGAGTATTGCCTTCATTAGCGACCACTTCGGTTGAACACATAACTGACAAGAATGACTATCTGGTCACCGAACACACACTATTTCGATTTGATTTATGTCCTATTTCATGCATGTAAGTTTGGGTAATATTTGCTACATTTTAAAATTATACAGTACATAATTGCACAGTAATCGCTCTTGAAAGATGATTGGTGTATGACGTGAAATTTGTATGTGTGATTTATTGACGTTTCTGAAAACTGTCAAAATCAAGAATGACACCCTATGCACGTGTATGGGGCTACTCACTCACTCATTTTTAAACAAAAACAACCGGCTAGAAACAAACACTGAAAAAAGTGATGATAGATGATTGTCAAAACTAATGGTCTGCAGTGATTTATTGACCTTCTTGAAAACTGTCAAAATCAAGAATGACACCCCATGCACGTGTATTGGGCTACTGCGTTGTGCACGTGCATCCCATGCGTTGTGTTTAGGGGTGGCGATAAAAATAAATGGCAGAGCGTTCATATATATACTCCCCATCAAAAGGTTAGACTCACTAGTGTAAATGTAGCCACTTACTTCAGTCAACTGTTCCGAACTAGATTTTGTAAATATTCCATACAGGTTAAAGGTACTGTTTATACATAAACATTGTTCATAAGATGCCTGCCTTTGTCAACACTTATTCAACACTTCCTATTCAAATTGACAGATCAGGTTCCCCTACTTTTTATAAGAGTATATGTGACTATGTGTGTCTTGTTTACATTCTCTGCGTTTGTTACAGGTGGCAGGTAACGATATTATTGCATGCTACACCAACAAGTTATCCAGTGAAATTGACTTGCTCTGCTTTGCTTTTAATAGTTATAAAAATAAAAATAAGTCTTGAGTCTGTAGAACATTTTGCTTACATGTCTTTCTTTGCCACAATCTACCCGTGAAAATCCGGGATAGAATTGCCCTTTTAGTAACTTCAGTGATTGTTGTAAGAGGATTGCGTGGTCAGGCTGGCTGACTTGGTTGACACCTGTCATCGGTTCCCAATCAGATCAATGCTCATGCTGTTGGTCACTGGATTGTCTGTCGAGACTCGATTATTTACACACCGCCACCATATGGCTGGAATATTGCTGTGACTTTATAAAACAACAAACCAACCTCGGTACAAAGCTTAAACAAGGAAAAGTCAAACAAGCTGAATGCTTTGGCTGGGTGAGGCATGCTGATCTGAAAAATAAAATAGAAGTTTGTTTAAGGGTCTGTAGGGTGGATTATGATTTTTGTCTCAAAGTGTAAATGTGAAAAGCAGACCAGGAGAGCCCGGGTTCTTCATTGGGAGCACGGCACATACTCTGCGTTATGCATCAGTCTCTGAAATCCCAGGGGGAATAATGGAGAAGATACTAAAATTCGACAGCATGTGCATACTGAGCCCACTTGTGTTCGCTCTGTGACCACGTAGTGACCGCGGTGACCTGATATGTATACTGTGACGTCATGTGTAAGCTGTTACCTGATATGTACACTGTGACGCCATGTGTATACTGTGACCTGATGTGTACACCGTTACGCCATGCGTATACTGTCACCTGACGCCAGTGTATATACTGTGAAAGGATGTGTACTGTGACGTCAGTGTGTATACTGTGACCGATGAAACTTGAGTGAATACTCGTCCGACTTGGCAATATCGACCCCAACCCCCCACCACCCCTCCTCAGTCCCAATCCACGCCAAACATTGCAGGCCGAACACGTGGCATAACGTCAACTTAAAATTCACAATCAATGTGAAAAATCCAAGCTCATAATAATCCGGCAAAGGGATGTACATAGTGAGCGGCGGTTACTTCTCGCAGTTTCCATTTTGAATGTTGCTCAGACTCCAGTATTCATGCGCCATGTTCTTCTAAGTAATATAGTTTGTACTAATGAACCAAACACCACAATACTCTAACAAGAAACGTATGGTAACTTAACGTCATTTTTTATCTTAAATTAATTAATTTACTCTGGTTGATAAATGTATTATGTATTTATGTATGTTTGAAATTGGAACTACTTTGTTTTGCGTGAGTGTGAAGTATATACCCACCATTGGGTCACTGTATTCCAAACTAACCGGTCACATAAATCGCGAAAAAATCGAATTAACATCCCTTAAACTTCAAAATATGAAATTACATAAAAAAAATAATTTCACGTTGTTGTGGCTTGATTAACAATGTATTTGATGACGTTCATTATAATAATATGTGGTGTTTGAATGGACTGTTCTGCTGTAATTTATGTAAATGTTAATATACGAGTATAGGGATTTAAGCTGGATTTGTTGACACTCATTAGTAGATGAAGGTAGTGCCTCACATGAGCAAATTACTTGATACGCGGTTGACTGGTCGAAAAGGGCAATAGGGTTGCGCAATAGAGAGAAAAATTACCAGTTTTCTATAAGCGAGCAAAGGTTGGCAACGTACTTCCCTCGCTTTGTTTCGAAAAATATTTTTAATGTCAAAATAAACTATCGCCACCACCATAGGTAGACACCCATTTCCTCACAGAGTTGTGCCCTCACATGTCCAGCCACATATTTAATAATTACTCACGTAAAATATACTTTTCGCAACAGTCTAAGCATCACTCATGGCACATTAAATCGTTCGTCGCCTCCATTACCCCTGCCAGCTTCCGGATCACGGCTGCCTGTGCTTGACGACATAATCACGCCATGTACTGACGTTAATCGGGAAATGAACGACAGCTGGCTTGAGATTGTTTACCTGCAACTGTCAATACTGGAGGACGATCATGTTGAACGATAAAAAATAAAGTCATGTTTACTCAGCAGCCCATACTCCATTAAACCACCACAATGTGAAATTCATTTCTTAGGTAAGGTGAGGTGAAATTGGGTTTAACGTCGTGCTTGAGAATATTTCGCTCATGTGACGACGTGCATGCGTGTGTATGTGTATGTGCGGCTGCTTGTACTAGCCCAGACTTAAGCTGTGTTTATAGTGCTAGCCCACTGAGATACCATGCCGCAGTGAAACATGAATACCCCACTCAGACACATTATACTGACACCGAGCCGACCAGTCCTTGTTATAACCTATTAATGCCGAGCGCAAGGCAGGGACAGACAAGTACCATATTTTAACGTCTTTTGGTATAACGCGGTCGGGGATCCAACCCGCGACCTTCCGCTCTCCGGGCAGACACTCTAACCACTACACCACGGAGGGGCATATGGTTTACGATAATTACATACGTAACTACAACGTAATTACAAAGAGAAGATATTTAACCCGAACGTAAACCGTGTTCAAACTGTTTATCATTTGTTTTCACGGCAACCTGCGTCTTAACGTAGGGGGCAGACACGTCACTGGAAGAGCCTGTCAGTCAGCCCTGAACGAGGATTGGCAATTTAGGTCAACGACACCGTCGTTTTTCTGTTTCTTTACTGCCTTAGATTTATCGTCGTTAAGTATTGAATTTGGCACCTCAGAAAAGAATTACAGTTCCCTCTACCACCATGTTCTCACTGGTACATGTAACAGATGGTCGCCAGCTACCGCGTGTGTCAATGTCCTCCAGTCCCTCCCTCCACCTCACCCACAAGTTGATGTATGTTCTCACTGGTACATGTAACAGACGGTCGCCAGCTACCGCGTGTGTCAATGTCTTCCAGTCCCTCCCTCCACCTCACCCACAAGTTGATGTATGTTCTCACTGGTACATGTAACAGACGGTCGCCAGCTACCGCGTTGTGTCAATATCTTCCAGTACACCCTTCCACCTCACCCACAAGTTGATGTATGTTCTCACTGGTACATGTAACAGACGGTCACCATCTACCGCGTGTGTCAATGTCTTCCAGTCCCTCCCTCCACCTCACCCACAAGTTGATGTATGTTCTCACTGGTACATGTAACAGATGGTCGCCAGCTACCGCGTGTATCAATGTCTTCCAGTCCCTACCTCCACCTCACCCACAAGTTGATGTATGTTCTCACTGGTACATGTAACAGATGGTCGCCAGCTACCGCGTGTGTCAATGTCTTCCAGTCCCTCCTCCACCTCACCCACAAGTTGATGTATGTTCTCACTGGTACATGTAACAGATGGTCGCCAGCTACCGCGTTGTGTCAATGTCTTCCAGTCCCTACCTCCACCTCACCCACAAGTTGATGTATGTTCTCACTGGTACATGTAACAGATGGTCGCCAGCTACCGCGTTGTGTCAATGTCTTCCAGTCCCTCCCTCCACCTCACCCACAAGTTGATGTATGTTCTCACTGGTACATGTAACAGACGGTCGCCAGCTACCGCGTTGTGTCAATGTCTTCCAGTACACCCTTCCACCTCACCCACAAGTTGATGTATGTTCTCACTGGTACATGTAACAGATGGTCGCCAGCTACCGCGTTGTGTCAATGTCTTCCAGTCCCTCCTTCCACCTCACCCACAAGTTGATGTATGTTCTCACTGGTACATGTAACAGATGGTCGCCAGCTACCGCGTGTGTCAATGTCTTCCAGTCCCTACCTCCACCTCACCCACCTCACTGGTAATGTAACAGATTCGCCATGTGTGTCTCTTCCACTGGTACATGTAACAGATGGTCGCCAGCTACCGCGTGTGTCAATGTCTTCCAGTCCCTCCCTCCACCTCACCCACAAGTTGATGTATGTTCTCACTGGTACATGTAACAGATGGTCGCCAGCTACCGCGTTGTGTCAATGTCTTCCAGTCCCTTTCTCCACCTCACCCACAAGTTGATGTGTGTTCTCACTGGTATATGTAACAGATGGTCGCCAGCTGCCGCGTGTGTCAATGTCTTCCAGTCCCTCCCTCCACCTCACCCACAAGTTGATGTATGTTCTCACTGGTACATGTAACAGATGGTCGCCAGCTACCGCGTGTGTCAATGTCTTCCAGTCCCTCCCTCCACCTCACCCACAAGTTGATGTGTGTTCTCACTGGTACATGTAACAGATGGTCGCCAGCTACCGCGTGTGTCAATATCCCCCGGCTCTCCCTCCACCTCACCCACAAGTTGATGTATGTCCTCACTGGTACATGTAACAGATGGTCGCCAGCTACCGCGTGTGTCAATGTCTCCACCCTCCACCTCACCCACAAGTTGATGTATGTTCTCACTGGTACATGTAACAGATGGTCGCCAGCTACCGCGTGTGTCAATGTCTTCCAGTCCCTCCTCCACCTCACCCACAAGTTGATGTGTGTTCTCACTGGTACATGTAACAGATGGTCGCCAGCTACCGCGTGTGTCAATGTCTTCCAGTCCCTCCCTCCACCTCACCCACAAGTTGATGTATGTTCTCACTGGTACATGTAACAGATGTTCGCCAGCTACCGCGTGTGTCAATGTCTTCCAGTCCCTCCCTCCACCTCACCCACAAGTTGATGTATGTTCTCACTGGTACATGTAACAGATGGTCGCCAGCTACCGCGTGTGTCAATGTAT